CACCACGGCTGCCCCCCGGCCCCGGGGTCCCCGCTGTGCCCCGGCACGCTCCCCACCAGGCACGGCTGATAAACGCTAATCTAATATGCATGCTTAATCCACTGCAACTGGTGTGAGATTAATTGAACCCTGCAAGAGCACATTGTCCGGGCTAAATAAAACCGGGGCCTCATCCCAAGCAAAGATGCTATCGGGGCTTGTGCCGCAGCCGGCACCGCGTGCGGCGGACCAGGAGGTGGGCGAGCCAGCGGCAAGGGCCAGGCTCCCAGGCGGTCACTGCCGGGGTCCCACAGCATCCTCCAGGATGGCTCTGGCACCACAGGAGCATCCCCACGCCGGGGATTTGAGCCTCCCGGGGTGCACCGTGATCCTGCAGATGCCCCAGTTTCCCTTTCCTTGCCCCCTTCTCATACTCCAGCCCCAGGAGAAACCCCAAGACCAAGCAGCATCCCTCCCCATACGACGGTTTCTTTACAGGGCCTGCCAAAATAAGTGGTGTGTTTTGAAAAATACCTTTTGTTTTCCTTTTCACGGACATGCCTATCTCTGGGCAAGGCTCCTCCAGCCTTCCAGGCTTCCCCCTTCCATCAGCGGAGCAGGATCCAGCCCCGACAGCAGAGGATGAACCACGAGCGTGCACAGAGTGACCTGGACTGGGCGGCTGCATCTGCGCAGCCTTGACCCGCCGGGTGCCCACACGATCCCTCCTGGGCTGGGCATCCCCTGGGCATTGCCTGCTGCCCAGCTTGGCAAAGTACGACCTGCATTGCCTCTGCCTGCCTGCTCCTGCCTGCAGCAGGCAGGGCCATCCCCTCTCCGTGATGCAGGGCTCTGTGTGGGCACCGCTGCCATCCCCTCGCCCTTCTCACCCCGCCCTGAGCCTGGGGTTTGCCCCGCGGGGTGCTGGCTGGCACTGCACGCCGAGCGCGGCGCAGCGAGGCATTGCAACAAGCTTTTCACGTCTGCAGTGCTGCAACCACCCACGGGCTCGGCCCGAGGGCCCCGCTCTCCACGCGCGCCTCCGGGCGCCGAGGGGCTGCGCCCGTGGGTTTGGCTTTGCCGTTGCTGGCAGGGAGGGAGGGGGCTGTGAGATGTTCACCCCAGCCTGCATCCTCGTCCCTGCCTGCATCCTCGTCCCTGCCTGCATCCCTGGCACCATCCTTGCCTGCAACCCCATCCCTGCTTGCAAACCCATCCCTCCCTGCAACCCTGGCACCATCCCTGCCTGCAACCCCCTCCCTGCCTGCAACCCTGGCACCATCCCTGCCTGCATCCCTGGCACCATCCCTGCCCGCACCCCC